CGTGGCGGGCGGAGCGTGCGCGGGGCCCGGGCCATGGCGGAGCCGCTGTGGCGAACCCCGCCGGGCCGCCTGGCCCCGCCGCACGTCTATCGCATGGCGGGGGCTCTGGGCGCCGAGCTGCGCCGCCTCTCCGGCCGCTTCGGGCCCGAGGCCGTGGCCGGGCTGGTGCCGCCCGTGGTGCGGCTGCTGGAGCTGCTGGAGGCGCTGGTGGCCCCGGCCGAGGCGGGGGAGGCGCCGGCCGGGCCGCAGGAGGCGGAGGTGAGCGGGGCGCAGGGACCTTCCCCGGTGCTACCGACCCCCGCGTTTTCCCTCTGGAGCGTCCGTGGGGACGGCTCCGAGCCGGCTGTTCCCGGGGGATGGCTCTGAGCCGGCTGTTCCACATCCCGTGGGACGGCTCCGACCCGGTTGACCCCATTCCCCGTAGGGCCGGCCCTGTCCCAGCTGTCCCCTTTGCCCAGCGGTTGGCTCTGACTCGGCCGTCCCGCATCCCCTGGGACGGCTCTGACCTGGCTGTCTCTGTCCCGTGGGATGGCTCTGGCCCGGCTCTCCCACATCCCCTGGGATGGCTCCGACCTGTCTGACCCAATTGACTCCCCTGGGATGGCTCTGACCCGCTGTCCTGCTCTCGGAGTGGTGGCTCTGACCTGGCTGTCCCCCATCCCCTGGGACGGCTCTGACCCGGCTATGCTCCCCCCTCCCCGTCCCCCAGGACCCGGAGCAGAGGCTGTGGGAGGCCGAGCGCCAGGAGCGAACCCTGCATGGCCGCCTGGCCTGCCTGGAGGAGCAGAACCGGCAGCTCCTGGGGCAGCTTGCAGAGAGCCAAACCCAGGAAGGTGGGTGTCTCAGCGGGTTTGGGGTCCCCTGGTGCCGCAGGGTGTCCTTGCGGGGGATGGCAGGCTGGGTGCAGGGCTGAAGCTGCTCTCTGGAGCCTGGAGACCTGGTCTCCTGCAGACCTGTCCTACCAGGGAGCATAAGTGCTACCTTGTTCTGCAAGCCACAGGGACCCCAAACCCCCAGAGCAGCCCCAAGTCCCCAAGACCAAGCTGGGACCACCCCCAGGAGGGTGGTGGAGGCAGGCGTAGGGTGTGGGCTGCTTTGCCAGCACAAGGATATGTTTGGAATGGCCTAAAGCTCTCAGCTTTCCACTGTTCCTACTCCGAGATCTACCAGGAATGTTAGAGTCTGGCAGAAACACTGAGGAACCTTGCAGTGTCGAGGGACTGGGGGAATCCATGGATCCTGGAGGCAACTCAGGCCTGTGTCTGGTCTCAGATAGCACAGCACGGAAGGAGCGGGAGGTGATGCTGCGGCTGAAGGAGGTGGTGGACAAGCAGAGGGATGAACTTCGTGCCCAGGCCCACGAGATTGTCTGCAAGAGCAGAGACACAGAGGCGGTGAGGGGTGTGGGAGCTCAGGGTGTGGTGTGAAGGGCCTGGGCACCTGCTTTCATGTCCCATCCCCCCAGGGGTGTCACAGCTGCTGAGCCTGCTGGGGCAGTGCCTTGCCCCGTGGCTCTGATGTCCCTGGGTGGGGACACTGCCTCACTTTTGGCTGCCCTGGGCCCTCCAGCTGCAGGAACAGCTGCATCGCTTCATGTCCATGAACGAGGACCTGCGGCACAAGGTGGCCGTGGTGCAGGCTCAGCTCAAGAGTGCTCTGGAGCAGAAGTCGGACCTGGAGGCTGCGATGCTGCAAATCCAGAAGGAAATGAGCAGTAGGAGCAGGACAGCCCAGGAGACCCAGCAGCCAGAGCCTGGCCTCGTGAGTCTGAGCCTGTGGCCTTGCTGCTGCCAGGCATCATTAACACTGACCTGACATTCCCAGCCCTGTGTGGAGCTTCTGGCACACCCAGAGCACCCAAATGCCAGCAGGACATGGTTGTTCAAGTAACCCCACAGCTGAAAATTGAACAGTGATGCCAGTAACATCTTTTTCTGTAAAAATTGATAGGGGTGGAGCAAAGCGAGATGACAGGAGGAAAAACCAGGTGGGACTTGAAGGATGAGGAGGGTTTGCCACATGTGGTGATGGGCAGCAGGTGCTGGCCCGTGGAGGGCTGCAGCAGCAAACTCATTCCTGAGACTTCCATCTCTGCCTGCACGTGGCACCCACCCTTTGGGTGGGCGTTTCAGGGTCTCTCTTGCCTGCTGACTCTCTTTCCATCCTCCCAGGAAGGAGCCCCATCGCCCATGGAGGAGCCACAGCACCAGGAAGGGGACAGGAGCCCTGCTCAGTGCTGCTTCTCCAAGGAAGAGCTGCAGCAGATCCTGCAAGAGCGGAACGAGCTCAAGACCAACCTGTTCTTGGTGCAGGAGGAACTGGCCTATTACCAGCGGTGAGTCCTGCTGTGGTGGTGGGGGCAGTGAGCCGGGTCCCTCCTGTCCCTGCAGCCACCCATGGGCACGAGGCTGCTCGTGACTCAGCTGGGGTGGAATCTTTCCCAGGCTGTTGGTTAACCAGCTGGCTGCTTTTTGCCAGGGAGCTGCTGAACGAGGAGAGAATTCCTGGCTTCTTCTTGAATGCGATGAAGTCAAATATCAAAAAACAGAGAAAAAAAATCAGAGCCAAAATGCTGGGAACGACGGAGGAGTCGGCGAGCAGGTGAGTCCAGCTGACCGTGGCTGATGGGAGCCTCCCGTGCAGGGCTGGTGCTGGCTGGCAGGCTCTGGTGTTTCCATGTGGTATGACACCCTGGAAGGGAACTCCCCCAGGCCCAGAGCTGCCTCCTCCCTCCAGAGATCAAAGGTTTAATGTCTGTGGTTGGTGTCTTGCTCAGATGTAGCCCTGGGAGCACCGCAGGGCCTGAGCTCTTTGCTGCAACTCATGTGTCCCTGTCACCAGTCGCACATGGCCTGGCCAAATGCCACTTGCCCCTGTGTGTGTGACAAAAGAGAGATGAGGTGGTGGCACTGGGAGCACTGGACAAGGTAGTGGACTAGCCCCTACACTGTATGGGTGCAGGTTTGTCCAGCTCCAGAGGGAGCCCTGGGGTGGCTCCAGCACTCACTGCTGAGGTGTGTCTGTGGCTCAGTGCAGTTTTTTTCCCCCTATTTCTTTGTCCTGCAGTGATGAAGATGAGAGCTCCTGGCTCCCAGCTCATGGCACAGACTGTGTGGATGCTCAGCCTCCTGAATCCAAAATTCGGAGCTTGTAAGTTTGCTCTTGTGCTGGGGTGCTGGTGGGGACAGACAGCTCTGCAAGTGAGGGCACTGGGGCTTAGCTGAGACCTGGCACTTGCTGAGCTTGGGTATGATGGGAAAGGAGCTGGGCTGCCCCGGGCAGGGCTGGCAGGGATGCTGCCAAAATGGGGGTTGTTGGTTTAGGGAGGATCTGCCTTGTCCTGGGCAGGGACAGGGCAAGCCTTGCTGCTGCCCCTGAGGTGCCACACATTCCCAGGGCCTGCAGCTAGGCTGTGTCCTCCTGCTGCCACCAAAGTAGAGAGAGGCTGGGATCCAGCAGCTTCCCTGGGAAGGTTCTTCTCCCCCATGGCCATTATCTGCTCTCTCTGCAGTTTTGGGCTGTGGTATCAGGACAGCAACAAAGATCCCCCCACATCCAGCTGCTCTGGCACCTGGGAAATCATCGACTCGCTGGACACGGAGGTGGAGCCAGAGGGAGAGAAGGAGCCGGCAGCCAGTTCCCCCAACAGAGCCACAGCACCCCTCTGACCCCACCTGAACAGGAGCTGATCTGACCTCACAGCAGCACTTCCTGGCTCCTCTTCTTCTGGTGTCTTCGAGAGCGGCATGGCAGCCCTGGCCCCTTCCCTGTGCCGTGGTGACGGCGAAGCCAGAGTGTGGGCAGATTGCTGCAAACCCCCTGGGGCACTTGGATGTGGGGTGCCAGCCTGGCATGGGACACCTCAGCACCTCTGGGCATCTCTGCCCCTCAGCCACCCTTTCACTGTGCCCATGACTTAATTATGGGGGTTCCTGCACAGCTGTGCCCCCCCCCACACTTCTCCCTGCTTGTAGCTCAGCATGGTGAAGGTCTCCACCACAAAAGGGCTCTTCCCATCTACTAGTGGCTTTTTCTGCCAAATCCCCCTGCTCAGAGCCCAGGATCCCATCACCCAATTCTGCTCTGGGGGGGTGTTTCACTTCACCCCTTTCCATTCATACCTCCCCCATCCCTGCAATGTGAAGGTTGAGGGGGAGTGTCCTGGGGTCACCCCACGGCTGGAAGGGGCTGAGCACACTGCACCAGGTGTCCAGGTGCTCCTGTAGCTGGGAGCAGCCAGGATCAGCACTGCCAGTGCCACTCCTGCACTTTTTAAATATGGGGTGAATCACTTTTGTACTGGGACTTCTTCCTGCTACTGCTGGGACAATCCTTGTGTTTGTGGGGGCCAATTGGTCCCCTCAGGTCAGGTACTTTATAGCTTTAAAACTGGAGTTGGAAATAAATCAATCACTTGTTTCTTCTCTGAGGTCCCCCCTGCAGCCTCTGCTCTCTCCTGGCTTGGGAAGGGGCTGGTTGGTGCTCCTGGGGTTCACTCACCATTCCCCAGTGTAGCCACCAATGGCTGTGCTCTACCAACCCCCCGAGCCGCCTTTGGTGGGTCAGCAGCGATGGGGAGGGGGCTCCAGGGGTGTGATGCTGCAGCTCTGGGCATGGAGGAGTTAAGTCCTGCATGGCCAGGGGAGCAGTTGTGCTTCCAGCCAGGAGTCCCCCCAGGCTGAGCTGGCCTTGAGTAGGAAAAAGGTGTTTCCTGTGCATCTGCTGACACAAAGCTCCTGGGGACATGGTGAGGGGGGACAGTGGCCAGCAGCCCTTCAAAGGCCAGCATAGGTCAGGCTGTGTTGCAGTGGGGGACGTGGGGACCCCACCTCTGAGGCCCTGCCAGGGGTTGGCAGTGCCATGGGGTGGCTCATGGGGTCGGGGCAGGGGGAGGCAGCGGATGCCCTGTGTGGGCTGGGGGGGCATTGGCTAAAACAGCTTTGGGGGTGACAGAAGGAGGCACAGGGGGAGCCAGGTGAGATGCTCAGGCAGGTACCAACCCCCGTGTGGTTGTGCCAAGCCCTTGGATGCTGTTTCTGCTGGCAGGGTGGCAGCAAGGGCTGAAAACAGCCCTTTAGTGGCATTCCCTGCTCCCCTCCCTGCCGTACTCCTGACGTCTGGATTGGGGTGACTCCTCCCGCATTTCCTCAGGAAGAAACCCAAGGCTGGAGGGAGGAAGAGGCCGCACCACGGGAGGGACGGGACAGACGGACGCCAGCGTGGGGCTGGGGAGCCACCAGGACTTGGGCCCTGGTGGTGATGGGGAGCGTCCAGCCCATCCTCTGCCTCCAGCTGTGGCTGTGGGTGCACAGTTCTGCCCAGGAGCTCGACCCCGATGGCAGGAACGTCTGCAGGTAGGTGCCATGGGGGTCCCCACTTGTGCCCCTCTATTTCCTGGGCTTCTCAGCAGCCCCAGAGGTGTGTTGTCCATCCGTCCTTCCACAGATGGAGATCTGCAGCCTGGTATCATGTGGGTGCAGAGACTGGAGTGATGCTGGGGACCGTGGTTGGGGCACTCAGGGGCACTTGGGGCACCCAGACCCCTTCTCCAGGGGTTATTTCTCATTCACCCCCAGTGCACAGGGCAACAGGGTGATACGGGACCCTTGGCAAAACTCATTGTGGGGAAACATTGGCGTAGCAGACCCCAAAGGGCTTTGGGAGCTGATGTCCCCTAATTTGCTGCCGTGTTGCCTCTCTCATTGGTCTCCCATCAGCAGTGGCCCCTTTTGCTGCCTTTGTTTCGGTGCCTTATTTCTGTGTTGCTGGTGAAGCTTTGAGCCGTTCCCAGGGCACTGAGGACCCATCACGGGCTCCATAGCGGCATTCCCAGCAGTTTGGGCAGGCCAGCCCCACCACCCACTCAGGCTGCAGGCTCCTAAATTTCCTTCTATTTTGCTGGTTTCCTTCCGGAGCGTTGTCCCTGTGGCCGCGCTGCCGTCCCACCGCGGGGGCGAGCGATCGCTTCGCCTTGGCTGAAGCCACAAGCAAAGCTACCCTGGCCCCAGCACCCCCTGCCCTGGCCCTGACACCCCCTACCCTGGCTGACAGACCCTCCGGGTCTCTCCCACAGGCTCCCCACCGGCCTGGAGTGCTGCCTTGGCTGGAAGCAGGATGGGCAGGAGTGCACAGTTGGTGAGTGTTGGATGATGACGAAGCTGGACACTCAGTCCCTGTTCTTTTCCAGGCGGCTCCTCCACAGTGCTGGGTGTTGGGGGGAAAGCCCTGCAACTCTGCTCAAGGGACAGTGGTGGGGTGCTGTGCCATGGGGACCCCCAAATGCCCGCTGAGCAAGCTGCTGGTGGTACTGTGGCTCAAGTGGAGGGATGGAGCAGGAAGTGGATTCCCCGGGAAGTCTGTCTCTGCAGCAGTGGGTGCCAGGTGGTCTGGCAGAGGGATGTGAGCCTGGGGGGCCATTGTGTGCTGATGTTTCTGCCCTGCCATGACAGCACTGTGTGAGGGGAAGGACGCCTGTGGGGAGGACGAGGTTTGTGTGAAACCCGGGGTCTGCCGTTGCAAACCCGGCTTCTTCGGAGCAGACTGCAGTTCCCGTGAGTGTTCCCACAGGGCTCAGCCAATCCCACCATCACCTTTGCCAACCTGGATGCTCCCAGGGACTGCAGGACTTCCCCCCATTCCTTACTGTCTCCTTCCCCCCGCAGGCTGCCCCGAGCAGTACTGGGGCCCCGACTGCAAACAGAGCTGCCCGTGCCACCCCAACGGGCGCTGCGACCCGGCGAGCGGGCACTGCACCTGCGACCCCCACCACTGGGGACAGGTCTGCCAGTTCCCCTGCCAGTGTGGCCCCCACGGCCGCTGCGACCCCCTGACGGGCGCCTGCCACTGCGAGCCGGGCTGGTGGGCACCCAACTGCAAGAAGCAATGTCAGTGCAACCTCGCCAGCTCCCACTGCGACCCTCTGACCGGCCTCTGCCGCTGCCTGCCGGGCTGGTGGGGCAGGAGGTGCAGCTTCAAGTGCTCCTGCTACCATTCTCCCTGCACCCAGGAGACGGGCAAGTGCGAGTGCAAGGCCGGGTTTTGGGGGCCGGCGTGCCAGCGGCGCTGTGACTGCGTGCACGGCTCGTGCAGCCCCATCACCGGCCACTGCACCTGCGACCCCGGCTACCAGGGCAGGAGCTGCCGGGAGCCCTGTCCGGCGGGGAAATACGGGTCTCAGTGCGTGCACAGGTGAGCTGGGGGCAGCAGGGGGATCCAGTGAGTACCCCCAGATGGCAGTCACACCTTGGGGGAAGTCATCACTGTAGTGTTTCTCCCTTTGTCTGATCAGGGAGACCCATCCTGCGGGATTTAAGCATCCCTGGTTGAATGCAGCATCAGCGTTGTCCCAAAAGAAACATCTCACTAATGCCAGCAGAAAGCACTGGTGTCACCCTAAAATCGCATTGTCCTTAGTCTTGCTCCCCAGGGTGATAAAACAGCATCTCCCCTGTCTCTTCCAACCAGAATATTCTGTGATTTTGCTCTCCTCCTGTCCTCTTGCTACTACAGAGTGCTGGGCACTACTCAATATTTCCCTGTGGCCCAAACTGATGCTCAGTGCTGGTGTGGGGTGAAACCTGCTTTTTGAGGGGCCAGGGGTGGGTGTTGTGACTTCACTGCCCCTCTGCCCATGCAGCTGTGGGAGCTGCAAGCGCAGCCAGCCCTGCTCACCCGTGGATGGCTTCTGCCTGGCCTGCCAGCCTGGTTGGAACGGGACTCTCTGCAAGGATCCCTGCGCTCCCGGATTCCATGGTGAGAGCTGCCTCCAGCCGTGTCCCCGCTGCCAGCGTGGAGAGCCCTGTGACCCTGAGACTGGGTCCTGCCTGCACTGTGATCCCGGCTGGACAGGACCCAGGTATGACCAGGATGGAGTTGCTGGTCCTCAGGGGGATCTCTGCTCTGGGGTGCAGCTGGCTGATGCTTCACTCTCTGTCTTGGCAGCTGCAACAACTCCTGCCCCACAGGCACCTTCGGTGATGGGTGCCAGCTCCTCTGCCCTGAGTGTGTTGCAGGGAGCTGTGATCCCGTGACAGGAGTTTGCATCTGCCAGGCAGGCTACTGGGGAGACAGGTAACACCAGGATAATTCTGGGAGCAGGGCAGGGCTGGGGCCTCACTCTCTCCAAGGGCATTTCCCTCCTTTCCTCTCTCTTCCAGCTGCAACGACACCTGTCCAGAGGGATATTTTGGAGTGAATTGTTCCGAGCCCTGCCAGTGCTCCCGGGGGACCTGTGACCCTGTGCAGGGTGACTGTGTGCTGAGTAAGAGCAACCTCAGATTTACTACTGGGCAAGGGACAGTCACATCCTCACTGGGGAAGGTGCTGGGAGGCTGGGATGCAGCCTGGTCCTACCTGGTGCTTCCTGACCCAACCATGAGTTTCCAGCTCCTGCATTCTCCATGCAAGGCAGTTCTCTGGGCTTCACAACCACAGAGCATTCCACGCTCAACCCGTGCTCTCCACACAGGTTTGAAGGACCGCGGAGCCCTTGCAGCTGCCATCCTTGTCCCTCTCCTGCTGCTGCTGCTCTGTGTTGCCTGCTGTTGCTGTGGAGCCAGCCCAGCAGATGCTAGAGACAGGTATTTTTTCATATTTTGCAACCTTTGACACAAAGCCCATCTCCTGTGTCCCTCGATGTCCCTCTCTGCTATGCAGGGCGGCTGTGCCGGACGACGATGTCGTGGCCAGGATGAAGCACCACGTGCAGGGGGTGCTGGCAAACCTCAGTGCTATGATGCCCTGCTTCAACCTGGGAGGCTCTAAACTCCCCAAAGTCACAGGTAAAAAAAGCAGAGCTGTCAACAGCACTTCCAGAGGGTCACTCCCACCCCGTGATCTCTGCAGTGTCACCATTTGGAGGGAAGCTTCCAACTCCTCTCCCACCCCCACCCTGAGCACCTTGGGGTGCCCAAGCTCAGCTGGGTGTCTTCTCCTTCCCAGTTTCCCACCACGACACGGAAATCCCCTTCAACCCCAGCTTCATTGAGTCACCATCGGCTGCGTGGGTGTCAGACAGCTCCTTCTCCTCCTTCGACACTGACAACGAGGGACCCGAGTACTCTGTCCCTCCCAGAGAAGGTGACATCTATGATTGCCCCTCCTCTCCCTGGCCACCCACAGCCTATCCGGGCTGCCAGGGTCAATCCTGCCCCGCTACCAACCTTGGCTGTCCCAGGGATGGGTGCTGGGCCCAGACAGTGTTTATTTCCATGCCCTTGTTTTCCTGTCTGCAGGGACACACCGGGCCTGTGCTTGACCTCGTGTGGCAGAACATGCCCAGCGTGGGCAGTCCCATTTCACAACCTCCTCCCTGGGAAACGATCCCAGGGACAATCCTGTTGCCCCAGCCCCTGTCCCAGTGTCTCTGAGTGTGTCCCTGGGCAGGGCAGTAGTTCTGGCAGCCGTAACTCTTGTCACCTTCTCCCACAGGCATCCCGCTGCTGGGGGGGGCTGAGCTGCAGGATGGGGCATCCCCCCCTGGTGAGGTGCTCCCGGATCCATCCGCCTTCGACTCCGAGGATGTGTCCCAGCCCTTCGCCATCCCTCGCACCTCCAGCATTGCCAAGGCCAAGCGACCCTCCGTGTCCTTTGCCGAGGGGACAAAATTTGGGGCAGTGGAGACCCCCAGCCCCAGTTGGAAGCCCAAGACCCCATGGGGCCCATCCAAGCCGGCCCAAACACCAGGGGATGTAACAGCGGAGCCCCAGAGTGAGCGACCAGCCAGTGATTGCTACAAGAACCCCGAGCCCCTCAGCAAGGGGGAGGAAAGTCACCGGCCATCACCACGGGCCACCCCGGGGGGACGCAGGAGGGTGGTCTCCAGCACCAGGCACGTGGCCCAGAGAGTGGAGGCACTGGAAGCAGCTGCAAAATCTGGCAGCTGGGAGGCGAAGGGGAAAGAGCCCAATGTCACCACCATCTACATGATGGTGGGAACGGCCGGGCAGGACCCCAAGGCAGAAGGAGGTGGCGAGGGACCGGTCCAGGCTGTGCTGAAGCGTCTGGGCAGCTTGCAGAGGGGCAAGTGGGCTGCCAAGGAGGAGCCCAAGGTGAGGAGGAGCATGGAGGCCATCCAGAAACCACCTCGCCGGGCCCTGGCGCAGCGCAGAGACTCGGTGAACAGCTGCAAGCAGAGGGAGAGTGTCCCAGGGGCTCCTGCCGAGCCATCCCCCAGCAAGCACCAGCATCTCCCTGCGAAGAGATTGTCCCTCCTTCTTGCAGCTCTCTCATCAAAAAGCACCGGAGCCCAGGATGGGGCCAGCGAAGCTGTGGGTGCCACTGAGAGGGGCAAAAGCCCTGACTTAGTTGCCAGCCTCGAAACAAAGGGACAGGCTGCCATGGAGGAAGAACCCAAATACGAGAATGTGACCAGCAGTGCTGCCAATTCACCCTCCAGCCCTGGCAAGGAGCTGCCGACCACTCCTGCAGCCACTTGAGCCACCACTGCCCGGGCTGGGACAGTGGGAGCCCAGGGGATGCTTCCAACCCCATCTTGGGGGGAGCTGAGATCCTGCTCCGAGCTGTGAACTGGAGAAGCATCGAGCCTTTCCCTGACCCCCTCTCCTCCCTCTGTGCTGTGTTGCTGGACCCTCACTGGCTGGTACAGCTGGTGAGATGGGTGATACCAAGAGCCACAGTGGTAGCAGCCTGTGGGATTGTGGTGCTTCAGAGCTGCTTTCCTGCTCTCCCCTGCCCTACCTGCCACATCTGTGTCTGCAAAGCCTGGGGGCACAGCGATGCTCTGGATGTGATGGTGACACCTTCAAGTCCCTGTCGGCAGTGGGCCTGGGGACATACATCTTCTTAAACAGGAGCAGGGCTGCTGGAGGCTCAGCTGGGAAATGCATAGGCAAGAAAGAGTTTTACCCCATTGGCTTTTGGTTTTCCCTGTCCCAGTTCTTGTGATGCTGCTCGGAGCCTTCTGCTGTAAAGGTGCTTCTCGCTGAAGGGAATTATTTTGTGGAGCTGGGCTGAAGAGAGATGATGGGCTGTCATGAGCAGCTTCAGAAAAAAATTAATTTTAGCTGCTTATCTCAAAGGGTATCTGGGTCTGCAGGGGTTTATCTGTGTGGCTTCTGTGGCAGGCCCTGGCTGCCTTTGCTTCTATGTACTTGTATAGCCCATGGAAAGGCTTGTGGCACAGCATGGGGTGTAGCCACGGCCTTTTAAACTGCACACAATACCAGGCTGCAGTTGTGCAAGAGCAAACGTGGCAGCTGGGCAGTGCCATCAACCTGTGCACCTGGCACCGTGCTGGTCCTGGTAAGGATGAAAGTTGCATGGAAAACAGGATTTCCATGGGTGCCCTGAGCTCCTGCCATCTCCCACGCCTCATTCCTGCTGTAAAGGGAGTTGAGATGTCAAAGAGGATTTGCAGCAGTTTTAGATGTATCTAAGTGGTAGAAGGTTTATTGTATATTTTTCTGTTATTTCGCATGGCATGAAAGCCTTGGAGTGAAAATTAAATGTTACCAAACCCCTTCAGGAGATGGGTTTCCCAACCACCCTCTGAATCAAAGACATGGCCAGGAATATTCTCCAAAGTGTGGAAACAGTTGGCAGCCTTAGGCTTTTGGGGTTTTGGTGGTTTTTTTCACATGTTCTGGTTCTGCTGAATTCTGAACTCTCACTCAGTGAGCCGAGTTCTCCACAGAGCTGGAGACAGGAGTGCAGGGGGAATGTGAGTGGGCTGTGAGCATCCAGAGCACCTTCACTGCAGCCTGAACCTCACATGTGGTCTCCTTCTGATCTGGCACTGCTCAGCTGGGGTTCAGGGTTTGGGGTGTTTCAGAAAACATGGTAGGGTTTGCTTTTACCCTTTTGCTTTTCGTGGGTGCTTCTCCACAGTGCAAAGGGCCGAATCCCCACAGTCCTGATTTTGGCTGGGAGGCTTCCAATTTTGCAGCCAGCATGAAGCACCCTTTCCTGCAGTGGAAGCACCCACTGCCACGATTGTAACACCAAATATTCCGGTATACAAGTAAAAATATTTGCTCCTCCTGGCAGGACCAGAGCAGCAGCCTGGCCAGACCTCTGCTCTGCACAGGCTGGTTTTTGTTTTGACAGTTTTATTGCAGAGGCAGGGACAGTCCCACGTTTGATTTATAAGCAGCCATTTTTTTCCCCTAATCGGGTGGATATTTTCAGCCTGTGAGCTGAGCAGTGTTGTGCCAGAAGTGAACGTCACGTGAGCTGGTTCGCCCTGGGTACAGCATGTAAATAGCTGACAGCAACCTGACAGCCTTCCTGAAAGGAGAGAACGCTGCTGCTGCGAGAACCTCTCGTGTTCACGGGCTGAGCCCGAGGCTGGATGTTTCCCCGGCTTGAAGATGAAGCATCTTCGCCCTCCCTGGGCGGTGCAAGGGAAACGAGCTGTGGATTTCCAGCGTGTGGCTGCCCATGCACACACCGGCAGCGTGGCTGCGCTGGTGTCTTCCTGCTGGGGATGCTTCCAATCAGGCTTTGCCATGGTTTTAATCCTGGATGCGGGAGACCTGCAGAGGGGGCGGGTGAGGGAGGGTTTGATGTCTTCCTGTGCTGGATCTCTGACTTTCCAAATCCTGCTGCAGTGGTTTTAAGCCAGATAGTGGGAAGCGATCCGTGTGCAGGGCCTGTCTGTAAGCAGAGAGGTATCTGTGCTCTGCTAGGGCAGCTCTTGGCTCACAGGTAGGAATAGAGGCTCGAGCTGTACCTCATGGCCACAGGGGTCTGTCCCTTAACCTGCAGCCTTGTTGTCTCCATTTCCAAACTTCCCAAAGCATTTGAAGAGGACCACGTCATTTATTCCAGTGGCTCCATCAGAACAGGAGCTGTCACCTCCCTTCCAGCCTGAGCTCATTCCTGGCCAGTTTCTATAAATGTGTCTCTGTGGCAGTACCGTTCTTCAGCTCCACTTTATTTTTTTTCTCCCCATGCTGTTTACTTAGTCCCGGGGGTATTTATAGCTGATCATGAATCACCTGATAGCTTCTTTTCTCCTTCTAGGATAGGACACCCAAGCCCCCTCCATGCTCTCACTGTGGCAAAGGGTTCCCGTGTCCCCAAACAGCCTCTGAGCCCTCCTTGTGCTCCCTCCTATCGTGGTTTGTGTTTCTTGGACACAGCAACCAGGTCTGGGTGCTCAGGTCTCCCGGGGTCTTGTGCTGCCTCAGCCTTCCTCTACCTCTGCTAAACACATGGCACTGATCCAGGCTGCCTTGTTTTCTTTGGGCTTTTGTTTGTTTGTTTGCATTGGCTTAAATCCACTTCCCAGCTGTTGAAGCTTTTGACCCTTCTCCCGTAGCCAAGGCTGAGGAGTTTCCTCTTCCCACCCACCCCAGCCTGCCCCTTTCATAGGGGTGCCATGGTGGGTACACATCCCTCTGCTTCCTCTGGGGTGTTTACCTGCCCCAAGTGCTATTTTCATCTCCTTTGGCTGAAAAAATATTCCCTGTAATGATTCTAGGGATACATGGACACCTCTGGCCCAGGACCTCACTAATGAGGCCTGGGCTTATGGCAGGACTAGAAATCCCACAGAAGGATGCTGTGAAAATAAATTTAATAAAAAAAGAGAGCAGAGCTCTGGTGAGCTCAGGTGTGAAGCTGCTCTTCACCTGCTGGTCACACTGCTAGGGATGCAGCCCAATTTCATTAAATAAAAGTAAAATCATCACCAGCCATGTGACCTGCAGGTCTGGGGAGGGGATTCTCCCCCTCTCCTCTGCCCTCTTGAGGCCCCACCTGGAGTGCTCTGTCCAGCTGTGAGGAGCCCAAAATGAGAAGGACAAGCATCTATTGGAGGAAGTCCAAAGGAGGCCATGCAGAGGATCAGAGGCTGGAGCACCTCTGCTGTGGAGACAGCCTGGAGAAGAGACTCTGGGGAGACTTTATAGCACCTTCTAGTGTGTGAAGGGACACCAAGGGAACTCAAGAGGGACCTTGACAGGATAAAGGGGAATGGCTTCCTGCTGCTAGAGGGCAGGGTTAGATTAGATATTGTGAAGAAATTCTTCCCAGTGAGGGTGGTGAGGCCCTGGCACAGGTTTCCCAGAGAAGCTGTGGCTGCCCCATCCCTGAAAGTGTCCAAGGCCAGGTTGGATGGAGCTTGGAGCAACCTGCTCTAGTGGAAGGTGTCCCTGCCCATGACAGTGGGCTGGAACTAGAGGATTTTTTTAGGTTCCTTCCACCCCAAACTGTTCTGTGGTTCTATGAATGAACTGACTGGGTGCCTGCTCCCAAACCTGCCTTTTAACGAGGGAAGAGCAGCTTCTCTGCTCCCTCCTTGATCAAGGGAGCAGGACAGGTGGGATTTGCAGGACAGGTGGGTTCACAGGACGAATCCGGTGCCTGTAACCGCGGCAGAGGAGCAGTGGCACAGGAGCTGTTACCGACACGGCTCCGAGTGCCCGGCTGGGCTGTGCGGGCAGGAGCCGCTCTGCTGTCGCACAGTGAGAGCGCTGCGGCTCCTCCGGCTGCCGCCCGGGGCCAGCGGAGACCGGCACCGAACCCCGCGGGGCAGCGGCCGGCGGGGCTCATCCCGCATCACCTCCCGCCGCCGCCGTCGTCCCGTTTCTCTCCCTTTTCCCTGGAAGGCGGCGGTGCCGGTGCGTGTCACGGTCCCCGCGGAGGGTCCGTGCGTGTCCCCCCGGTGTGTCCCGTGCCCGCCCCGCACAGCGGGTGTTGTGCCCCGGGGGAGTGTGGCCGTCCCGGGAGAGACCAGGTGCGGCCCGGGGCGGGGGTACGGGGCAAAGGGACCTGGGGGGTACGGGAGGAGGGGGATATCGGGGAGGGTACCTGGATACCGGGTGGGGGGCACCGGGCGGGGGTACCAGGGGGATCCCGAGGGGTATCAGGGGGAGATATCGGTGGGTATCGGGAGGGGGGGCACCAGGGGGGTAC